AGGGTGCGGAGATGTCCTGTACTTTATTATAGTAAGTAGTCTACTTCGTGGACATTCTCAGAATTAAGACTCGGTTCTCATACTCGACTCTTTCTTACAAATAACTTCTGGAAGTGAAATTGAAGAGTCAGTGAAGGCAGGTTTCAGGGCTTCTATTGCTTCAGGCCTAACTGTGTTCCAGAAAGGAGAGTCGGTACCTGCTTCTAGCCCTGGGGGTGTGGGGATGTTTGCCTTGATCCTGGTTGGTGCCACACACTATAATCTTACTGTCCTTTGCTGATTTATAGGTGGAAGTGTCACTGTGTCCTGTTGTAAAGATACATTTCCTTGATTTCTGGGATGATTAAATATTGAAAAATGTTAAGCCTTTGGGCTCCTTCTTTTTGTGTAGCTTCCTGTTTATTTCCTTTTGCTACTACAGCGTTGCCTTTGCTTCTGTTAAAGTAATGCTGTGTTGTCAATGCCTCCCCCAGTCTCTTCACTGAATCACAGCTTTAAAAAATAAACAAATACTAGAAGCCTTTGATCCCTTTGTCACTAAGTTTGTTGAACTTTTCTTTCACGGATTCCATTTTTGCCTGGATTCCAGTACAAGTGGCTGAACTTATCTTGAGGTGAAATTTCATTTATGTTTTCCTTTTGTTCTTTTTGTGTTTTCATTTATTACAGTTACCTCTCAGATTCATCTGGGACTTATTTGGGGTTTTGGTTTGTCACGCAGGAATTCAGCTTAATTTTTTTCTAAAAAGCTGATTGTCACATTATGGGAAAATCTGTGGGAAAGTCACTTTACAGTGACTGCAGCAAAAGAACATTTTCCTTAATTATGAAAGTAGTGCATGCTTATTATGAATGAGTGAAAGCAGAATGAGTATTTTAGTAAACAAATCATGAACCCTTGGGTATCGGGGTACAGCTCTGGCATCTGGGTTTGTATCTGGGCTCCTTACCTTCTTGCTGTATGGCCTTAAACAGGTTACCTGACTTTGGGATTCACACTTACTTTTCTTCAGAGTACAGTAGAAAAAACAGGCCTATCCCCCAGATAGTTGACGTGAGGACGAGATGAGATAGTATGTGTAAAGTATTGTATACTGGAGGGTGTTGTAAATATAAATACAGTTATAACAAGTGGTAGGTCTATAGTGATAACGAATGAAGACCACCCCACCCGCCGCCTCACCCTTGTCTTCCAGAAGTCTGTGCTGTAGTCTGTAGACTTTCTGTGTGAATGAGGTATATTGCTCTTTGGCCTCCTTAGTTGTCTGTAATTACACTGATTCAGATGTCATCAGCCTGAATGAGGACTGTCATCAGTTCTTTGTTAGACCAGTACTTTTGAATTTGTGTGGTGCTCTCCAATAAAGTCACCTGGAGCTTTGTCAAATGGCAGGAACTTGGGTCCCATACTTGGGAATTCTGATTCAGTTACTGTTGGGCAGGCCTTGGTTTATCTTGTGAAAACATTCTGAGGTGATTTTGCATCTTGATTTTGTATTACCCTAGTTAAAAAGTGACTTGTCAGACATGATTTTCATTTGTGGGATGTTATCAAACTGGTGGGAGGGGAAACAGTTAAAGGAATTGGCATAATTTTCCAATCAACGACTTATCCTGGAGTTGAGACTTCTGGGTTGAGATTTATTACTGACTAAATGCAGCAATATTTGACCTAGGTTAATGAAGAATGTTAGTTTCTTTGTTAATATGCTATATACAGTTGAATAATGGAAGGAATGCTTATTTTGTGCCTGCTCAGGGCCTTTGTGGAACATCTTTGGACTTAGTAATCTGCTCTTGAGCCCAGGGTTTACTTGTTCTTCCTTTGTTCAAAGCCCTATAATAAAGGCGGCTCATCTCCGTGGTTCTCTGTGGTTGTGTCATCATCTTGACTTGTAACTCAGCGAGTGTGTCAGTGCACAACCAGTTTTTCTCACCTGATTTTGGTTTTTAATTGCCAACAACTTTCTGCTTCCCTTGTTTTACACCCAAGTTACATTTACCCAGTAAATAAACTATGGTGGTTGTCTTATGAAAAGCACACATTGCTCTCCTGTAACTTGTGAATTGCATACATTCAGTTTTCACAGGTCATTCTTTATCAACAGTTAGCTTCCCTGAAAAGTGCATTTTGTTATTTTGAATGATAGAAGAGAGAAGTCAGAATCTTAACAGTAGTGCTAGTATCAGGAAATTTGTTTTAGTTTAATTCATTTAGCTTATTGAAATCCTCAATTTGAAACTAGGTAGTCTTCCCGGAACAGGCTGTTTGTCATGCCTGTGCATAGCAGGAAATCAGGAAATGATGTTGTTTGGTGTCGATACAGAATTAAAAAGATCTTTGAAATACTGCTTTCAACAACCTTATTGAAATGATTTTTGTGCAGAACTATCTTTATCTAGTGTGAAGGGCTTGTGGCCATGGCAGTAATAGCAGGTTGTAATAGGTTCTGCCTGCTTGATGGGCCTGTGTACTGACTACTACATGCGCAGACACACAGGTAGGTCATTCATTCTGAGCACATTGTTTTCTTGTTTTGTTTAGCAGATAAATCATTGGAATAGAGAGCTGACTTTAGGTTTGGAATAGTATTACCGTGTGTGTTAATTACAGCTCTCATTACCCGTGTACAGCAGAGCTGTAGTAATCTGGGTAATTCAAAAATAATTTATGCATGCTGTGTCTGTGATCTGTGTTCCCTGAATTAACGTCACAGGCAGTTTATCTTAAATGGGTCAGACACTAGTGAGTGTGGGCCTTAGAGTAACTCTGCTTTGAATCCAAGTTTTACTCAGTATAGATGCCCTTGGGCAAATTTCCTAACCTCTGTGCTTTGGTTTCCTCATGTACATTATGGGAACACTAGTAGTACGTGTTTCATAAGATTGTCATGAAGATTACGTGTGTGAAGGAACACAGTAGGTCTAACCTAGCATACAGTAGACATTCAATAGATGTTCATTGTTACCACAGGTATTTAATAGATTAAAGTCAGTTGAAGGTTTCATTCGGGAACATCTGGAAAAGTGTCTAGGTTCTTGCACCAGTCTGCCTCCATACGTTTCAGATAAAACGCATAACTGGCAGCCCAAGTGGAACCAGCTGTTTATTCCCTTCTTCTCTCCCTGCTGTTTTTTTTCTTTTTTTCCTCTCTCCATTGAGTGTTTTGCTTTAGCTCAGTTTAGTGTTGTTTTTTTTTTTCTTAAATGAAGAAAATTGTACAGCTTTGTTGAAAGATATTAAAGAAGACCTAAATGAACAGAGAGATATGCCAGGTCCATGATAGGAAGTTTCAATATCAGAGTATTTTAGTTGTAAAAGAAGAGAAGTCTAGTCAGTAGGATGGTTATTTTATCAGCAGACTCTCGAAAGCAGGGCCCTCATCGCTGGTAATGTTCCCACTGAGACGGAAGGAGTGTTAGAGGGGAAGGCAGTCACAGAGGAGGTGGCACCAGTAGGCTCAGGTGTAGGGGGGAGGCGGGGAAAGGACAAGACAAGCTCGTGTGGAATTCGGACTGAGAACTCGAAGCCCAACTAACTCCTCAGCATGTGTCCTGGACCTTTGACTTGAGTTACTTACCATTTCAGCTTCCAAGAATGTAACTGGTTTCAAGCCTCCCAGTGAATGGCTAACAGATGAAGAATTCCCATTTATTAGCAAAAAAAGTTTTAGTTAAGGGAAAGACTAAAAATTTACGGCATTGGCAGTGATCTGAATGATAAATGTCTGTACACAATATTTTGAGCTTTTCCCTCTTTCCTGGGAGAAGACACTGACGTAACCTCCTTATACTCAGAGATGTACCCTTGCTGCCATTGGAACATTGAGGGGTAGATGTCTGTTGCTGACCATTGGAGAAGGGAGATCAATATTAGGTAAATTTCATAGTCTTCCAATCAGGGGGTGCTAATTGAAGCTGTTGTAAAACTCCAGTAAATAAAGATAGGGAAAGAGAGAAGAGGACAAGGGATAAACCCCCGAGGACAGACTGTACTTAAGGAGTGGTGAAAGGTACCAGAGGATGAGCTGTTGAGGCGGAGAACCAGGAGAATGGATGAGTTAAGTTATATAAAATACAAATTAACTTAATATAAGACACTGGGGCAGGGATGAAGATGACAAAACTGTTTGATAGGAGAAATAAAGGTGTGACTAAATGGAGAGAATGAACGTTGATGCTTCCGGATAAGATCAACAATGTTAACACCTCCCTACCTACGAGCGATGTATGAATAATTTAATTCTTTTTATATATTACTGAATTCCGTGCACTATTATTTGTTCAGTATTTTTGTCTTATATTCATGAGAGAGATGTATCTGTCGTTTTCGTTTTTGGTGCTTTCTTTGGTTTGGGTATCAGGGTTGTTAAGATAGACTGGGAGGTGTCCCCCAACTCCGGAAGAGATTGTATATAATCATTATGTTGGGTTGGCCAATAAGATGCTGTGGAAACACTGCAATGATGTAAAGTAATTAGCCTCCAACTAATAAAAATAAATGGAAAAAAAAATGCTGTGGAAAAACCTAAAGGAACTTTTTGGCCAACCCAGTACTTTAAACACTTGGCAGAAATTCTCCAGTGGAAGCCTTTGGGGCTGGAGATTTCTTTTGGGGGACACTTCTTTTGTAATTTTAAAATTACAAAGTCAATTTGTTTAATAGTTGTAGGACTAATTATTTCCTATTGGGTGAGTTGTGGCAGTTTGTGTTTTTTGAGGCATTGGTCCATTTTGTCTGAGTTGTCAAACTTACGTGTGTTGTTCCTAGTCTTCCTTTATTATCCTTTTGATGCCTGCAGGACTTGTGTGATACCCTGTTTCATTCCCATTGTTGGTGATTTGTATCACTTTTCCTTCTTTGTCAGTCTTGAGCAGGTTTGTCAAAATTGTTGACAATTGTTTTATTGAATATTGTCTTTATGTTTTTGATTTTATTGATTTGTCCTCTTTATTATTCCTTTCCTTCTGCTTACTTTGAGTTTATTTTGTTCTTGTAGGTTCTTGAAGTAGGAGCTCAGGTTATTGATCTGAAATATTCCCTCTTTTCTAACGTAAGTATCACCATCTATAATATCTTATTTCATCCCCACAATAACCCTGGAGGTATGTAGGGATTTTCAGTATCACTTTAAGGAGGAAATTATGTAATATTCTTAAAATCTCAAAGCTGAGTTCTGAACCAGAGATTCTGGCTGCAGGTCCAGATGGCCTGCAAGCCTCTTCCTAGCTGTGAAAGTCTCTCCTTTTATTTTTCAGTGTTTCATTTCCCTTGAACTAAGACTTCATAGGCTCTAAATCTCAAACTTGTTTGAAAATGAAAATGTAAACTAAGACTTTCAACTAGTATAATTATTTATTGAGCAGTGACCTGGTAAGCAGAACTCTGTGGTATTTTGTAAAGAGGTTTTAAAAGTGGTGAGAAAAACAGTTTTTACATCCAGCTGGAGAGAAACACATTGCTTAGATGAAACTAAGGAACAGTTGAAGTTCTGCAGGAGAGTGATATGGACAACCGACTGTTGTGGCTAGAAAAACACTTTCAGAGGTAGAAAATTTGTCAAAACAGGTGAACTGATAGTGTATGAAATGAGAAGCACAGATACTTAATAAGCACAGATTATTTGCCCTCCAGTAATAAAGGGTAAATCGAAACAGGAGAATGACATTTTATCAAACTTTTTTTTTTAATAGCATTCAGTTGGATTTATTCAGTTAATTGTTTATTTATTTTTATTTATTTTTAATTTTTATAAAATTTTTTTTTCCATTTATTTTTATTAGTTGGAGGCTAATTACTTTACAATATTGTAGTGGTTTTTTGCCATACATTGACATGAATCAGCCATGGATTTACATGTGTTCCCTATCCCGATCCCCCGTCCTGCCTCCCTCTCCATCCCATCCCTCTGGGTCTTCCCAGTGCACCAGCCCTGAGCACTTGTCTCATGCATCCAACCTGGGCTGGTGATCTGTTTCACCCTTGATAGTGTACTTGTTTCAATGCTGTTTGTTCGGTTAATTAATGCTTAACTGCAGCAACAGACGCAGAAATCTTAGTGGCCTGAGATAACCAAAGTTTCTCACTCTTTCCCATTCAAGTGACTATCTCCAGTGGTGACCCAGAGCTCTGGGTTGCTTTTAATCTCGCCTCTCCGTAGTTGTAGAGTTTTTTGCTTTCAGTCTTTCAAGTAGTTGGGGGAAGAAGAATCCATTAAGAGCCTTGTACAAGAAATGATTCCTTGCTTCTTCTCACGTTCCCTTTGGCAAGAACTAGTCTTCTGATTCCAGCCAAACTGTAAGTCAGAGAGGGAAATGGAGGGGAGCAGATCCATACTTGTGGAGTAAGAACCGTCTCTGTCACACCGTGACTGGTCGGCTCTTGGGAAATAGATGCCCTCTGTGTTGTTGCTGGGAGGATAAATGGCCATCTTTCTAGCAGACAGTAATTTTTAAAATAAGATATTCTTGCACTGACCCATGTTAAATTTTTTTTTCTGAGGAGCTACCCGTGGATGTGTGCTACAAGAATAGTTGTTATAGCTTTGATTATAATGAAAAATTGAAAACAAATGTCTAACAAAAAGAGGACTGGTTAAACAAATTATGATGTTTCTGTCCTCAGTTATTGACCGTCATATGGTATAGCATGTAATGATATGGGTCATTAGACTGTTCTTGTTATAAGTGGGAACAGTCAGATTACAGAAAAGAACATATGTCCCATTTTTGTAAGCATGTTTATTCATGCATAGACTAAAGACTGGAGGAGGTCTCTGGTTTTGGCACAATAGCAGACTAGATTAATATAAAGTCCTTGCTACACAATGCATATTTTGCTTTCAGGAAAGAAATTCTCATTAAAATTAAAAAGTGGAGTGGGGGCAGGAGAGGTTGGGGATTGAAAAAGCATTTGATGAACAGTCTGATGCTGTAGTCTCTTAGGGTGTTTGCCAGTTTTGGTAACTTGCAGTTTAGTTCCCACAGAAATAAGAGACAGAGCCTTGTGCCTGTGAGTGTCAGACTGAGACACCAGATGAGAGTATGGATCTTCAAAAGGTTGAACATTCACTATAGGAATGGGTAGACTGGAAAAAAATAAAGTCTCTGTTAGCAAGATCCAGAACTGGCTGGGGAAGGGAGTATTCACTGAGAACTCAGAACCATTTTCCCTTCATATGGGTTTTGTGTTCAAATTTACATTTACTTGGCTTCTAGGAGACTCTCCAGACTGAGAGATCGACATAAAAAGCAGCCCAAAGCTGATGATAATAGAATCAGCAGACAGAAGAAACTCAGCACATGAAGGGCAGGAACACGTGAGAAAGAGTAGGTGCTATCATAAAAATAAGGCAGATTTTAAAAAAGGAGCCAACAGAATTTCTGGAAATGTAAAATAGTCACTGAAACCAAAACCTGGTGGTTTTGATAAACAACCCCTTAGGTACAAAAGAGAGAATTAATGAGTTAGATCAAGAGTTGGCCAACTGTGGCTTGTGGGCTAAATTTTGGTTGTGGTTTGTTTTTGTACAGCCTGCATGTTAAGAATGGTTTTTATATTTTTAAAGGACATAAAAAAGAGACAAATGAAAGTATTCTACTTCGACTGGATGTGGCTCCCAAAGCCTAGTATGTTTACTCTCTGGCTCTTTACCGAAAGCATTTCCTGACCCCTCAACTGCGTAGATAACGAGGACATTTCCAGATGGTAGCACAAAGGATAAAAGAATACAGGGGAAAGGTTTAAAGACATGGAGAATGGAATGAGGAGGTCTGACATATGTCATATGTTCAAAAGGAGAGAATGAAATGACAGGCCCTATACAAAGAGTTAATGACTAAACAAACAAACAAATAATGATTGAACATCTTCTAGAATAATGAAAGACATGCATCTTAAGAACCAAAAAGTTTGAGTGCTGAGCATCCCACTCACCTTCCACTCCTGCCCCCTGCTCCAGATTCCACATGTAGACATAGCAGAACTCCAAAGCTGAAGAGATCTTAAATACAGCCAGCATGAAGAGTCAGGTTATCCATGAGGTACAATAGTTCGACATCTCACTTCTCAGCAACAATAATAGAATCCAGAGGATTCTTTAGTTGGTGGAAAAGAGTTATTACCCTAGACTGGTGCATGCGATTGGATCATTATTTAGGATTTAGGGTGAAATAAAGTATTTCACATAAAATTTACCACCAACAGACTCTTGACTGGAGGAACTGCTTTAGGAAAAAGAAAATAACCAGAGGGAAGGAATGAAATGTAAAAAGGAGTGGAGCTCTGAATAAGGAGCGAGGTAAATAATGTGAGTGAATCTAAACAAGCACAAGTTGCACTAATGATAGTAAGGGCGAATGTGGAGCGAGTAGAAGCATGGTGGAGCTACAATATCAGTCAGTATTGATGCACAGTCAAGAGAGGTCATCATAGGTAAAGTTGTTCAGTCGCTAAGTCGTGTCTGACTCTCTGTGACCCCATGGACTGTAGCCCACCAGGCTCCCCGTCCATGGGATTTCCCAGGTAAGAATACTGGAGTGGGGTGCCATTTCCTTCTCCAGGGGATCTTCCTGACCCAGGGATCAAACTCAATGGCGGATGGATTCTTTACCACTGAGCCACCAGGGAAGCTCCAGTCATAGGTAAGGATCTTTTGTTAATTGAGAAGAGGGACAAAATACTAGAAATAATGTTAAACTTTCAACTACAGTCATAAATTGAATATATAACTTACAGACTGGTAGAGGGTTTAAAAAACACAACAAACTTATCAACTAAAAGTCAGGAAAGAGATGGGGAATAGAAAAAAGTGATAAATAAACCCCCTTCAAAAAAGATTGTTAGTAAATCTTAATGTATCACAAAAGTATAAGTAGATCAAACACTATAGTTTAAAGTCAAAGGTTGTTAAATTGGAGTTCTATTAAAAGAATGAAATCTTGTTCTCAAGTGTTTCTAAGAGGCACCTAAAATACAAGGAAAGACATGGAAAGTTTGCTGGGAAAAGAATGGAAAAAGTTAAGCTAGGTAACTATTAGCTGAGAGCTGAGTGTCTGACCAAGTGGCAGGCAGTACCCAAATATCCATCGAGAGAGTTCAATGGATAAACAAAGTGGCAGCATATACCTACCATGGAATATTATTCAGCCAAAAAGAAGGATGAAGTTCTGTGCTGCAACATAGATGAACGATGAAACACGCTAAGTGAAATAAGTGCATTCCATAAGGACAGATATTCTATGATACTCCTTACATGAATATTTAGAAAAGGCAAGTTCATAGAGACAGTAAAGTAGAGATTACCAGGGGCTGGGATTGATTATGTTCTTTGCAGCCAAAGATGGAGAAGCTTTATATGGTCAGCAAAAGCAAGACTGGGAGCTGACTGTGGCTCAGATCATGAACTCCTTATTGCCAAATTCAGACTTAAATTGAAGAAAGGAGGGGAAACCACTAGACCATGCAGGTATGACCGAAATCAAATCCCTTACAGTTATACAGTGGAAGTGACAAATAGATTCAAGGGATTAGATCTGATAGGCAGAGTGCCTGAAGAACTATGGATGGAGGTTTGTGACATTGTACATGAGGCAGTGATCAAGACCATCCCCAAGAAAAAGAAATGAAAAAAGGCAAAATGGTTGTCTGAGGAGGCCTTCCAAATAGCTGTGAAAAGAAGCAAGTGAAAGGCAAACGAGAAAAGGAAAGATACACTCATTTGAATGCAGAGTTCCAAAGAATAGCAAGGAGAGATAAGAAAGCCCTCCTCAGTGATCAATGCAAAGAAATAGAGGAAAACAATAGAATGGGAAGGACTAGAGATCTCTTCAAGAAAATTAGAGATACCAGGGGAACATTACATACAAAGATGAGCACAATAAAGGACAGAAATGGTCTGGACCTAACAGAAGCAGAAGATATTAAGAAGAGGTGGCAAGAATACACAGAACTACACAAAAAAGATCTTCACGACCCAGATAATCATGGTGGTGTGATCACTCACCTAGAGCCAGACATCCTGAAATGCAAAGTCAAGTGGGCCTTAGGAAGCATCACTACGAACAAAGCTAGTGGATGTGATGGAATTCCAGCTGAGCTATTTCAAATCCTAAAAGATGATGTTGTGAAAGTGCTGTACTCAATATGCCAACAAATTTGGAAAACTCAGCAGTGGCCACAGGACTGGAAAAGGTCAGCCTTCATTCCAATCCCAAAGAAAGGCAATGCCAAAGACTGCTCAAACTACTGCACAGTTGCACTCATCTCACACACTAGCAAAGTAATGCTCAAATTCTCCAAGCCAGGCTTCAACAGTACATGAACCATGAACTTCCAGATGTTCAAGCTGGATTTAGAAAAGGCAGAAGAACCAGAGACCAAATTGCCAACATCCGTTGGATCATAGAAAAAGCAAGAGAGTTTCAGAGGAACAGCTGCTTTATTGACTATGCCAAAGCCTTTAACTGTGTGGATCAAAACAAACTGGAAAATTCTTAAAGAGATGGGAATACCAGAGCACCTGACCTACCTCCTGAGAAATCGGTATGCAGGTCAAGAAGCAACAGTTAGAATCAGACATGGAACAACAGACTGGTTCCAAATCGGGAAAGTAATACTTCAAGGCTGTATATTGTCACCCTGCTTATTTAACTTATATGCAGAGTACATCATGAGAACTGCTGGGCTGGATGAAGCACAAGCTGGAATCAAGATTACCGGGAGAAATACCAATAACCTAAGATATGCAGATGACACCACTGATGCGGATGACACCACACTTACGGCAGAAAGTGAAAAAGAACTAAAGAGCCTTTTGATGAACGTGGAAGAGGAGAGTGAAAAAGTTGGCTTAAAACTCAACATTCAGAAAACTAAGATCATGGCATCTGATCCCATCACTTCGTGGCAAATAGATGGGGAAACAATGGAAATAGTGACAGACTTTATTTTGGGGGGCTCCAAGATCACTGCAGATGGTGACTGCAGCCATGAAATTAAAAGACACTTGCTCCTTTGAAGAAAAGCTATGACCAGCCTGGGCAGCATATTAAAAAGCAGAGACATTACTCTGCCAACAAAGGTCCATCTAGTCAAAGCTATGGTTTTTCCAGTATTCATGTATGGATATGAGAGTTGGACTATAAAGAAAGCTGAGCACAGAAGAATTGATGCTTTTGAACTGTGGTGTTGGAGAAGACTTGAGAGTCCCTTAGACTGCAAGGAGATCCACCCAGTCCATCCTAAAGGAGATCAGTCCTGGGTGTTCATTGGAAGGACTGATGTTGTAGCTGAAACTCCAATACTTTGGCCACCTGATGCAAAGAACTGCGTCATTGGAAAAGACTCTGATGCTGGGAAAGATTGAAGGTGAGAGGAGAAGGGTACGACAGAGGATGAGATGGTTGGATGGCATCACCGACTCAATGGACTTGAGTTTGAGTAAACTCCGGGAGTTGGTGATGGACAGGGAGGCCTGGCGTGCTGCCTTCTGCAGGGTTGCAAAAAGTAGAATGCGACTGAGTGACTGAACTGAACTGAACTGAAGGGGGAACAGGGAGGTGAGTTATTGCCTCCTGGTTGTAGTTTCTGCTTGAGGTGATGGAAAACTTTTGGAAATGGTAATGATGGTTGTACAACATTTTGACTGTAATTAATGCTGAAGGCTATACTCTTTAAAAATAATTAAGATGGCAGTTTTATGTTGTATATGTTTTATCACAACAACAAAAGTTTTTTAAAAGCTGAGTGACTGATACTAATATCGGTCAGAGTAAACTTTAAGGCAAAAAGTATTTCTAGGGATAATGAGAATCTGTACATAATTATATTCCTTCTGACTGCCTGACAGAAAATGTGCCATCTTTTGGGAAAATTGTATTTACTACTATGTTTATAGTACTTTTAAACAGTGTCCAGCACACAATAAAAAAATTCTAAGATTGCAAAGAAACAGGTAAACAGGATGTACAATCAAGAGAAAAATAGTAGAATAAAGTCTACAGGTGCCCCAGACAGTAAAAATTAGATAAGGAATTTTATTCTTATAAATATGCTAAAGAAAATAGAAGAGGAGATGGAAAAAATAAATAGATGAGGAATTTCAATAGAGAAATGGAATCTCTAACAAAGGACTTAATGGACATTCCAGAACTGAAATGTATAATACCTGAATTTAAGAATTTATTGGGTGGAATTAACCTTTAACCAGATATAGCACAAAAATGGTGTGGTGAACTGAAAATCAGATCAGTTGCAATTATTCAAGCTAAAGCATTATTAGATGAAAAAAATACTGAGTAATGCAGTTACTGATTCGTTACTCTGATTCAGAGTAATGCACAGGATAAACTGATGGGGAATTGAGATTAGGCATAATGGTTTGTTATGGTCCAGTATTAGGGTGAAGACAGTAGAATAAAAGGAAGGGATAAATGCACACATTGTAAATTATTATTATAAATATATTATTACCATAATAATTATTATAAAAAGGAATGGATACAGTTTGGCAGATCTAAAAATAACTCCAGGACTTGTAGCCAATAGTAGACTATAAAACTGAGATTCTGTGTAGGGTGATTTTTACTCACTATCTAATATTTGTAACAATCCTGAACATGAGTGTTTTACTTATGAAAAAACTGCAGCTCATTATGGTTAAGTGACCATCTAAGAGCTTGCTAAGCTGTGATTTGATCCAGGTCTGGCCAGGAGGTCTGTACTCTTTCCTGTATATCACATTGTTTCTAGTTTGCAAAAGGGGAAGAATGTAGCATCATGGGCAGATTTGAAAGTTTGTGGAAAGAGGGAATATTTGGAATCATGAAGTGGCCATGATGTGTCCTAGAGGAGGTAGCCTTGTTGATCAGCCACTAAATCGTGTCCGACTCTCTGCGACCCCACGGACAGCAGCACGTCAGGCTTCCCTGTCCTTCACTATCTCCCAGAGTTTGGTCAGATTCTTGTCCATTGAGTCAGTGATGTCATCCAACCATCTCATTCTCTGTCGCCTCCTTCGGGAGCTGGAAATGCTGGTCTGCTAGTGCAGAGCAGAAAGGCTAGGGTGGGAGTAGTAGCTTTGGGGGTTGAAGCCTTCTGAATGGATGGATTCATTACCAGATTATGTCAGAAGCCTTGGGGGGCACTTTTTGTATGAGGTAGGCCCACCAGTGGTGCCAGCAAAGCAGAAAGGGACGCGTCAGGGAGACCGGTGGAATAGAGAATACAGTGTCACGGGCAACCAAGGGAACGTTGAGAATTTGTAGAGCGGGAAAGTGATCGGTGATATCATTCATTTATTTAACAGATGTTTACAGAGATGCTAACCATGTGATACAGCAGTGCTCCAGGCAGACAAGGTTCCTACCCACAAGAATGAAGTTTTGTTGGGAAAGATAGGTAATACTGTATAGTCCATGGGATCGCAAAGAGTCAGACACAACTGAGCGACTTTCACTTTCAGGAGCTAGTTATGAAGGTCCTGGCAGTGCAGTGGGAGAGCCATGGTCTCACTCAGATTTTAAGACGATGCTTCTGGTTGCTGCGTGTAGAATGCATCGTAGGGTGCAGGCTGACAAGCTGGGCATTCAGTGCTGTGGCAGATGACAGAATCAGTGAGGCGTGTGTATTGCATGTGAAGTTACATTGATAAGGAGACTGCTCCTGATCAGTGTTTCATGGGACATTTATTTCTAGATCCTAGTACCTTCATTGTCATGTTCCAGAGAATGGCAGGAGAGATTCTAAGTGTTTTTGGTTTTCTTCTGTGCTTGAAATGATGGATTTAGCTGTTTGGGAAAGAATGTTGATGCTTCAGAGCACTCATGACACTTTTGCCTAATTCCAGTAAAAGAGATGGAACTTTATGGGGACAGAAATTTTAGAGTCAATGTTGAATTACTGGTTTCCATCAGGACATTTGTTTCTTTTTCCAGTTCTGTTCACTGTAAGTTGGTGGTGCTAGCAATAGGAGATTGTGTAGTCAGTCTCCAGATAACTTTTTAAAGACATTTTGTTTAGACTTTGTATAGTTTATTTTTGAGTTTTAATATGAAAAATGTTAAACATAAAAAGCAGACCCGCGTGACTCCCTATCATTCAGTGTCAACAGCAGTCTGGTCATGACTAATCTTGTTTCACTGATTCCCCAGAGTTCTCACCATCACCCTTGTCCTATTTATTTTTAAGCAAATTCCAGATAAATCATCTGTAAATATCTCAGTATATACTTCTAAAAGGTAAGGACTTTTCTACATTTTAGTGTTTTGGTTTCTTCCCTCATGGAGCACATAAACAGGTAACCATATAGCTGGATGGTTTGCCTTTGAGAGTGCCAATTTATGCTTATTGTCCAAGTGTATTTATTGATAGGACCCCTTTTCACTTAAAATACTGTCTCCATTTGAACAATAAATTCTATGATTGCCTTGTATACATGAGAAGCCTTTTCATAGTGGACAGTAAATAAATTCTTCAGTATTGAGTGTTTTCCTAATTGCTTGTCACCTCTCTGTCTTCTATCAGGAGAGCAAGCCCTGGAGTTCACTCCTTCAGGAGATGATCCACCGAAGTGCAGTGCTACGTGAGTCAGAGAGAGGAGGGACCTGAGCCACATGGTAAGAAGGGGCTGGAGCAGCCGAGTTGCCTGGATTATGCCATTTTTTTCCCCTCCACCCCAGTCTTTCTTTGTTAGGATTTGCTCAAAAAACGCAGAGCACATTTTTTAATTTTGAAAACAAAAAAGGAGATTTCTAACATTTGAATTAAAAGGATAATACTTTAGAAATATTGACCTACATGAATATTTGGTAAGCTGCTAAACTAAATTACCCAAGTTTAGGTTTTTTCCATGATTGATTATTATTTGGGTTTTGTTGTCCTTATCTCATGGTCTACTTACTCAGACCTCTTAGTAACATTGTCATCACTTTCTGTTTTTATCTAAAAGGATAGATGACTCTATCAGACATTTAATAGTTATACATGGTTAGCAAAGGTGGAAGCTAGAGAGAGTGAGCATCCATAAAATACCCCTCATTTTACACTGTCTTGCGGTAGTATCCTTGCTGTTTGTCTGTGTCTTTTTAGTAGTTCCCTGAGGTCAAAGATTATTTTACATCCTGGCTTCTCCCACGGTTATACTTAGCATGTCTTAGACATGAAAAGAGTATGATGAATACTCTTTGGAGGAAATGAATGAAGGAAATTGGGGGTATTTTTGGCACAGAACATTATAAATATACTTCTAGATGTACTGAAATTGAGGAGAAAGCAAGTGCAAAACTTTTATAACTTGTGATAGTAAAGTTTGGTAAGAGAAAAGGACTGGGAATGCTGGTTCAAGATTTACTCACCTAAAATATTGTCCTTTATTTTCATAGCAACACAATGTATTGTTATCTCCACACATTTATCTCTGTTTTGGGAGATTAGAAACCTGAGGCCTAAAATCTCATGGCAAATCTCTGTAAAAGATAAGAAATAATACCCCCATTTCTAAGTACAGTGTTCTTTCTGAAAGACCAAGTTACTATTTATATAGAAGATAAATGAGAAGCAAACTGTGAAATACATTTTGTCTCTGGATTACTACACCCACTGCTGGGTGAAGATCCAGAGAGTTCTCTTCAGCTCTTTTCCACCACTCTGAATATAACAAATAACACCTCCTCACAGAGGTGTTTTTTTTTTTTTTTTTTTGCTTTTCCCTAATACTTAGAGGCAATTTTCCTGTCAGGAATGAACATAGATAGGAGGGTATTTCTCTGTCTCACAACGATGCCTAAGTCTCGAATAACAAATTGTTATGAACATTTTTGCCCTCTGTTGAATGTACCTGCTAATCATTTTATAGGGCTCTAATAGGAAGAAAGTGGGTGTGTCTGAACAGTGAAACTGCTTTTGGACACTTACCTAATCCATCTCTTACTATTAATAACTCCCAAGTACAATATCCATGCCAAAAAATAAAACCTGTATTGGATTTAAAATGTTCTGCGAGGCACACACCAGCGATCCAACCATTGTTCCATCTTAGAAGATTTAGGCATTTTCTAGAAAGTTTCGGAAATGGGGGAAGCAAGGTTGTTGAGCATAAGGTCTTCAGGACTGACACACTTCTCTTTCTTTCGCAGGCCTGAATGTTGGCGCTGACACCATTAAGAGGCTGGCATTTATTTCTCTTCTAAGCAGCTACCGTGTAACTGTGAATAGTAACTATGCCTATGTGTTGGTCAGCAAAACCAAGGAGCAAGAGCTATGGCAGTTGAGGAGGTCTGTCTGATTCCAGGGTATCTTCCCCCGGCTCCACCATCAGGGACCTTCTCCCTCCCACCTCAACAGCAATGTGGTACCGTCTGCCGTTTGATAGAGATTAAGGACATGTTCTTTGGCCTACAGCTAGAACTCAGAATCTGCTGGAGTAGGGTCAGAGACCATTTCAGTCCCAGCTGAGGAAGATGAAATTTCCATTCTACTTGGTGCCTTGTCCAGGGAGCACACTAACTCTCGGGAACACGTGTTGATTGAGAAGAGGCTGAGCCTGGCCCACTGGAAACCCGCGGTTATGGCGAGTGAGCCGACGTGACCCGCGCGGGCAGGGGCCGCAGAGGGACTCATGACGGGCTATACCATGTTGCGGAATGGGGGCGCGGGGAACGGAGGTCAGACCTGCATGCTGCGCTGGTCCAACCGCATCCGGCTCACGTGGCTCAGCTTCACGCTGTTCATCATCCTGGTGTTCTTCCCCCTGATCGCTCACTATTACCTCACCACCCTGGACGAGGCGGACGAGGCGGGCAAGCGCATCTTCGGCCCACGGGCCGGCAGCGAACTCTGCGAGGTGAAGCACGTGCTGGACCTCTGCCGCATCCGCGAGTCCGTGAGCGAGGAGCTCCTGCAGCTGGAAGCCAAGCGGCAGGAGCTGAACAGTGAAATCGCCAAGCTGAACCTGAAGATTGAGGCCTGCAAGAAGAGCATCGAGAATGCCAAGCAGGACCTGCTTCAGCTCAAGAACGTCATCAGCCAGACAGAGCATTCCTACAAGGAGCTGATGGCCCAGAACCAGCCCAAGCTCTCCCTGCCCATCCGCCTGCTCCCGGAGAAGGACGATGCCGGCCTCCCGCCCCCCAAGGCCCAGCGGAGCTGCCGGCTGCACAACTGCTTTGATTATTCCCGGTGCCCTCTGACCTCTGGTTTCCCCGTCTATGTTTATGACAGTGACCAGTTCGCCTTTGGCAGCTACCTGGATCCCTTGGTCAAGCAGGCTTTCCAGGCCACGGCCCGAGCCAACGTTTATGTCACCGACAACGCGGACATCGCCTGCCTTTATGTGATCCTAGTTGGGGAGATGCAGGAGCCCGCCGTGCTGCGGCCCTCCGACCTGGAGAAGCAGCTGTCGTCCCTCCCGCACTGGCGGGCGGACGGCCACAACCACGTCATCCTCAGCCTGTCTCGGAAGTGGGACACGCAGAACTTACTGTACAATGTCAGCACGGGCCGGGCCATGGTGGCCCAGTCCACCTTCTATGCGGCCCAGTACCGGCCTGGCTTTGACTTGGTGGTGTCGCCCCTAGTCCACGCCATGTCGGAGCCCAACTTCATGGAAATCCCACCACAGGTGCCGGTGAAGCGGAAATACCTCTTCACCTTCCAGGGCGAGAAGATCGAGTCGCTGAGATCCAGTCTTCAGGAGGCCCGCTCCTTTGAGGAGGAGATGGAGGGGGACCCTCCTGCCGACTACGATGATCGGATCATTGCCACCCTCAAGGCCGTCCAGGACAGCAAGCTCGATCAGGTCCTGGTGGAATTTACCTGCAAAAACCAGCCGAGACCCAGCCTGCCGACTGAGTGGGCGCTGTGTGGGGAGCGGGAGGACCGCCTGGAGCTACTGAAGCTCTCCACCTTCGCCCTCATCATCACGCCCGGGGACCCGCGCCTGCTCGTCTCTGCGGGGTGCGCCGCCCGGCTCTTCGAGGCCCTGGAGGTCGGGGCTGTCCCGGTGGTGCTGGGCGAGCATGTGCAGCTGCCCTACCAGGACGTGCTGCAGTGGAGCGAGGCGGCGCTGGTGGTGCCCAAGCCGCGGGTCACTGAGGTCCACTTCCTGCTGCGGAGCCTCTCGGACAGCGACCTGCTGGCCATGCGGCGCCAGGGCCGCTTCCTCTGGGAGACCTACTTCTCCACCACGGACAGTATCTTCAGCACCGTGCTGGCCGTGATCCGGACGCGCATCCAGATCCCCGCCGCTCCCATCCGGGAAGAGGCGGCGGCCGAGATCCCGCATCGCTCGGGCAAGGCGGCCGGCACCGACCCCAACATGGCGGACACCGGGGACCTGGACCTGGGCCCGGTGGAGACCGAGCCGCCCTACGCCTCGCCCAAGTACCTGCGCAACTTCACGCTCACCGTCACCGACCTCTACCGCAGCTGGAACTCCGCCCCGGGCCCGTTCCATCTGTTCCCGCACACGCCCTTTGACCCCGTGCTGCCCTCGGAGGCCAAGTTCCTGGGCTCAGGGACCGGGTTCCGGCCCATTGGCGGCGGGGCCGGGGGCTCCGGCAAGGAGTTTCAGGCGGCGCTGGGAGGCAACGTCCCTCGGGAGCAGTTCACGGTGGTAATGTTGACTTACGAGCGGGAGGAGGTGCTCATGAACTCCTTAGAGAGGCTGAACGGCCTCCCTTACCTGAACAAGGTCGTGGTGGTGTGGAATTCTCCCAAGCTGCCGTCAGAGGACCTGGTGTGGCCTGACATTGGGGTCCCCATCATGGTAATAATAGAGCCGTGAGCGGTTTGTTTACCGCACCAGAGGGTAGTTCATTCTTGATGATCTCTTTCCCATAAAGATGCTGTGTTGGTTTTTTTTTAACTTATTCAGATTCTTTCCCCATGAAAATTTCCCCTTGCTTCTATTTCAGTTCTTTCAGGCCTTTCCGGTTCTCTGCTGCTCATTTCTAAAGGCCCCTAAGACGTTCCCACAGGGAGACTGATACTGGCCCCTTGAAGGTTTACAAAACCCTGTTATTGAGCTCGTAGACATCTTCTCTGTCCTTACAAAGGGGCTGATGATGAGAATGATGATTAAAAACTGACATTTAAGAAGCACTCATAATTTTAGAGTTTATAGAACTTACAGTAACAGTAATGAGCTAATATGATTTCTTCTGTGGAAACTGAGGCTTGGACATGTTAATTATTTTGCCCAAGGTCACGATTAGCATTTGTGGAGGAGCTGAGCTTTAGTCTGCCTGATTCCAGGAGCTGTGGTTTTAATCACCTCCCAAAGGGTTTAGGAAGGAGACCTGCTTCATTTCACAGGATTGTCTGCAAGTCCTCTGGGAGACTGGCCTCCGGGTTTGATATTTTGGGAGCTGGAGACCTTGGATCTTTTCTGTAGTTTCATTCTCATAAAACTTTTCTCTGTTACGGTTAGGATGACGTATTCTCCAGGAAAAGTAATAGCCAAATATGCAGGATAGAGCTTTAGTTCTGAGTACTTTATTTATCCACCTTCTGTTGTAAGTTTGTCCGTCTAGCGGGAGATTACCTATTTCTCTTAAATGTGAGGCCTTAGAACAAGTCTCAAGCCACATGGCAACAGTTTACCGTGCGGCACAGGTACTTTCCAGAAAAGGTAGCAAAGAAGGGCCAAAGTGTGATGAGCCATCACTGCTAGATGCTTAAGAGTCATTTTTAGGAAGAATTTGCCTTGAAGGGCATTGAGGAGCTAATTCACTTGAAATATTTTCTAAGCAGCCCCATGGTAAATGGGAAAGTATGAGTTTTGGCATGATAGAGATCTAGGATTAAATAGTCATTTTGTGATCTTTGATAAGTTAATTAACTCCTTTGATGTCAGGATTAAAGAGGGATCTAAGATAATACAGGGCTTACCCTGATAGCTCAGTTGGTAAAGAATCCTCCTGGAATGCAGGAAACCCTGGTTCGATTCCTGGGTCGGGAAGATCCCCTGGAGAAGGGATAGGCTCCCCACTCCAGTATTCTTGGGCTTCCCTGGTGGCTCAGCTGCTAAAGAATCTGCCTGCAATGTCGGAGACCTGGGTTCGATCCCTGGGTTGGGAAGATCTCCTGCAGTGGGGAAAGGCTACCCATGTCAGTATTCTGGCCTGGAGAATTCCATGACTGTATTGGGGTTGCAAAGAGTCTGACATGACTGAACGACTTTCCCTTTCTTTCACTAAGATAATACAAGTAGTCAGTTCAGTCGCTCAGTCGTATCAGACTCTTTGTGACCCCATGAACTGCAGCTCACCAGGCCTCCCTGTCCATCATTAACTCCTGGAGTTTCCTCACACTCATATCCATCGAGTCAGTGATCCCATCCAACCATCTCTTCCTCTGTCATCCCCTTCTCCTCTCACCTTCAGTCTTTCCCAGCATCAGGGTCTTTTCCAATGAGGCAGTTCTTTGCATCAGGTGGGCAAAGTATTGGAGTTTCAGCTTTAGCATCAGTCCTTCCAATGAATATTCAGGACTTATCTCCTTTAGGATGGACTGGTTGGATTTCCTTGCAGTCCAAGGGACTGTCAAGAGTCTTCTCCAACACCGCAATTCAAGAGCATCAGTTCTTCGGCATTCCACTTTCTTTATAGTCCAACTTTCACATCCATACCTGACTACTGGAAAAACCATAGCTTTGACTAGACAGACATTTGTTGGCAAAGTTATGTCTCTGCTTTTTAATATACTGGAAAAGTGCCCAATAATTATTTGATTCCTATTTATTCCTTCATGTCAAAGGAGATGGAAGTCAACATGGATGTTCTGCTTATGTTAAGGACTCATTTCACTGATAAACCTCCTTGTACCCATGACTTAATTTCCCTTGTGTCATAACTGTTACTACCTTTCTTCTCTTGTACAAATCTTTGTTTTCTTTTTTTTTTATAAATGCCACTACTTTCTTCATACTGCTGCTAATCTTTTCTTATATTTTATTTAATTGAATTTATAATCAGAGACTCTTCAAAGACTGTAGGATTCTGCAAACTTTTGATCCCAGAATTTATCTTGTATATTAAGAAAGCTTCGTAAACGGGGAGATTTCTTTATAGACTTCTTCCCAAATACATTTCACATTTTTTCTTTCCTAGTTACAACTTTTTGAATGTCATCAAAATTAAAAAAAAAATCGTTCTGTGAAAGGTAGATGCTGCTCATTAGCAAAGCAGCCTGTGTTTTCCATTTTCCTGAGTTTTCTCTAAATTTGTTAGGGACGTGGAGAAGCTGATGCCGCCACAGTTAACAGTGACTGAAGTGCATCAGAGAACTTGCCAGAACTAATCCTTCCTTTTAACTCTGGTGGGAAATAAGTCTTTCTCTTTGATTACCGAGCCACTCATTGCAGCAATACCATGCTTAGTCAGAAAGTGCCAGAAACTTTCCAGACTGGGGGCAGCTCTGAATAGCTTGTCCATATTAGTGGTACACTTTTTTTTTTTTTTCTAGTTCCTGTGAAAAAAGAAGAAACTCTTTCAAGCTGAAAATTTTCACCCCATTCTCTAAATATTTGGACTGCTTTCTCTTCAGTATGTAAGCGAGGCAGGGTTTTTGGACAGCAGTTGAGCTGCCGCCCTCTGGGGCACGGAGCTATCAGGGCTGGCAGGTAGGGCAGCCCTCCATGGTGGGAGATGGCAGTGTGAGGAGCCATCTCAGAGTGGGTTTTCTACCGAGGATGCAGATGTGACCTCTTTGTTCATTTTGCTACAGTTAACAGTAGATCTCTGTAAAATGACCAGGCAGTCTTTGAGGTTCCATTCCTTCAGGGAAGATGATTTGAGCTGAAAGAATCAACCAGGAGCCTCCCTGCTGCTTCAGAAAATGTTGGGGAGCCTGTGGGTCACCTTCTGCTCAGGGTGCCATCAGAGCAGCGGGCACAAATGCTGTCTGTCTGTGGGCTCTGAAGTCTGTTGCGCCCTCGATGTTCAAGTAGAGAGCAGGGTTGTCTCGGGAACCTACTGGGGTCTGTGGTGAAATCCCTCTTTCTTTTCCATTACTTAGCAAGGGGGAAGCTACTCTGGGTCTGGCTGAGAGCAAGTGTGATCTTCACTGCCACCCTCCTGCCCTGAATGCTTTATGTAAAGAGAATTCCAGTTGAGATCGGGTGGGGCCTGGGCGAATTGATGGCACTGCCCACGGGGAGGTGGGATGCGTGCCACCAGCTGCAGTGGGTCTCTCACCTGGAAGGTAGAGATGGCTGCACCAGAGGCATCTTTATGTTTCTTGCTTGTTTGTGAGCAGTCAAATCAGGTTACTTAGCTCCTTGAGTGGAATGACATGAATGTTTAATGGAAGTCAGATGGAGGGTGGCATTGGGCCAGGGGATTTGAAGGTCTGTCTTTTGAAAAGCTCCCTTCTAGGTGGTGGAGTCAGCACTTTCATGAATTTTAAAGATTTTCCACTGTTTCCTGGCTGCCTTTGTTTGTAATGATAGTCAGTGATTTCTCAAATATTTATTTCCCCATAGGTAATGTGTTATTTTTCTCTGGCCACTTTGAAGAGTTTTTCTGTGCATTTGGTTTTCAGCAGTTTGACTGTGATGTGCCCCTGCGTGATTTTCTCTGATCTCTGTTCTGATTGGGGTTCACTTAGTCTCTCAAGGGCTTCCCAGTGGCTCAGTGATAAAGAATCCGCCTGCCAGTGCAGGAGATGTGGCTTCGATCCCTGGGTCAAGAAGATCCCCTGGAGAAGGAAATGGCAACTCACTCCAGTATTCTTGCCTGGGAAATTTCATGAACAGATGAGCCTGGTGGGCTACAGTCCATGGGGGTCACAAAGAGTTGGACAACACTTAGCGACTAAACAACAACAAGGCTCTTAAATCTAGTAATTTATGTATTTTAAAATTATATTTGGGGAATTTTTTTTTCAATAATTATTCAGATATTTTCTTCCTCTTTGGAGACTTCATTCTGTGTATAATAGGAATTTAAAAAATTTTTTACAAATTTATTTGTCTATTATACTATACTAGGCATTTTGATACTGTCTTGCAGTTTTCAGCAGTTCTGTTCATTGTTGAAAAATCATTTTTAATCTTTGATAATTTCACACGTTTACTGACTTTGGTGTCTACGCTGCTGTTTATTGAGTCAGTTTTAAATTTCAGATACTGTGTTTTCCAGTTGAAGAATTTCCATGTTTTTGAAAATAATAGTTTCTGTTTCTTTCCTGAGATTTCCTGTTTCTTTTTTTTCCCCATTCTGAATACACTTCATTTAAAATTTTTTTTTAAAATTTATTTTACTTACTTGGCTGCGTTGAGTCTTAGTTGCAGCATGTGGCGTCTTCGTTGGTTCACGTGGGCGCTTTCATTGCTGTGCGTGGACTCACTACTTGTGGCACAGGGTCCCTGGAGCGCGAGGGCTCAGTAGTTACGGCACACGGGCTTCTTGCTCCTTGCCGTGCGGAATCTTAGTTCCCCGATCAGGGATCGAACCCCTGTCCCTTGCATGGCAAGGCGGATTCTTAACCACTGGACCACCGGGGAAGTCCTGCTTCACTTCAGTGAGCGCAGTCAGGTTCGCTGCTTAACGTCTTGGTCTGCTAATTCCAGCGTGTGGGTCGAATATTTATTGTAATTGGGGGTCATGTGTTTCTGGTCCTTTGTTACAGCAAACAGTTTTGTATTAAATTGTGAATGTTGCAAAGACCGTGGATTTTATTTCTCTGAAAAGTGTGGAGCTTTTAGTTTTAGCGGGAAGTTAATTTGGTTGGACTCACTGCAAGTTCTCTTGGGTGGCAACACAA